AGACACCCGGCTCCGCAGGCCCTGGACTGACCCGGTTCTGTAGACACTGTGAAGCGTGTCTTCGGAGACGTCGTGACGACGTTCAGCCGAGACGAACACACAAAGTTTTCAGCTGAAAGAACAGAAACGATAAAATAAATAAAAACTTGCTCAGACTGAAAACTAACCCGTCGCCTGTCAATCATGTTCAAAGTCCCGAGTTATTCGTGTGAACCAGACTGTTGTCAGAACCGGGCCGGCAGCTGCTCTGAACCACTCAACCACTCAATAAAAAGGTCCAAAGAAGACGTTCTGTTGAAAGTCACCACCTGATCTGGGTCCTGACTTCATTAAGGTCCAAATGTGGACCACAGACCACCATTTGAGGAACCATAATCCAGGGCTACAACGTTCTCAGATAGAAGCTATTCAGAAGAACCGGGCCCAGACCAGAACCGTCTGTCTGCCGGACTAGAACAAAGGAGCTGAGAGCAGAGGACAAGAGAAGAGCTGAAAGAAGATGAAGGTCCAACCTGAGCGTCGGCCTCTTCGTACGGGTCCACGAACACCGTGGTGCTCACGAGCTGGATGTCCGACTGGAACACAAGAACACGTTTGAAACCAACATCAACCCTGGACCAACAGAACCAGACTCGTTATGCTTTCCTGTTGACAGTCGACAGATTTTAAACTTTAACTTCTTCGGCTGTTTCAATAAATCCAACGAGCTTCTTTTAAATCTTTAACTTGATTTAAAGTTACATTCCTCAGATTTTGTTTCCGTTTGTTGTTTGAAATCTGATTCTCTGACTTTTTCTGCTACTTGTAGCTTCAAGCTAAACGGACTTGTGTCTATACTGGTCCTGTTAGACCTCAGAGAACTTTACTAATGGGCTTTTCAATGTCTGTGAATGTTCCTGTTCAGTGTCCTGAGACAACTTTGTTGGGATTTGGTGCTGTAGAAATAAAAGTAAAATTAAAGTTCTGCATCATCTTTAGATCACATGTTTCTAATGTTAGTGATATTACGCAGGTGGAAGAAGGAGGTTCTAGTAACGTTTTTAATGTGGGGGATAAAAGACATGTCCTGATCAAAAATAACACCAAGATGTTTAACATTAGAGCTGGAGGACAGATTAATGCATCTAAGGAGGGAGAAAGACTGAAACATTCATTTCTAAGGTGCTCAGGTCCAAAAACCAAAACCTCAGTCTTGTCTGTTCAACAGGAGAAAATTAAGGGTCATCCAGGTTTTTATGTCTTTAAGACATGCTTGTAGTCTAAGTAGCTGATTGGATTCATTGGGTTTAATGGACAAATATAACTGTGTGTCATCAGCATAACAATGAACATTTATCTCATGCTGTTTAATAACTTTACCTAATGGAAGCATAAGATATTTGTCCAAGCACTGAGCCCTGAGGAACTCCTTGATTAACTTTGGTGTATGAACAAGATTCATTATTTACATTTACAAACTGGAATCTATTAGATAAATAAGATTTAAACCAATTTAGAGCTGTTCCTGTAATTCCAACATCTTTTTTTTTATTTTATTTTATTTACTCTTTATTTATCCAGGTAGTCTCATTGAGCCACGAGAACTCATTTTCAAGAGAGACCTGTTTAGGGAGCAGATGGTGGGGGGTTAAGCATCTTGCTCAGGGGCCCAGAGTGGGGTCAATGAGGGTGGAGGCAGGTGTGGGTGTTTCGCCTTTTTCACCCACATTTTTTTAATGTAGACGGGACCGGGAGGTGAACCTGCGACTTTCCGATCACAAGTCCAACTTCTAACCTCTGCGCCACCACTCTCCATAATCATATTCATTTAACCTTTATTTAGACATAAGTCACATTGAGCCTCAAAGACTCATTTACAAGTGAGATCTGTTAAGACAGACAAAAATTGGTGAAACTGGACACATGGAGGAATTGGAGGCAAAAAAATTCCTATCAGACTTTCTTCTTGGCTGAGAAGAAAAAACTGATATTAAAAAACACCTCGCACAAACAAGCACATGGTGACATAGACGTTCTGCAGACGGAGGAGATGAGAGTAGTGAGCATGTTCATAGATGCTCTCGAGGTCACTGTAAGAGTTCTGATAAGGATGTAATAATCAGTCAATGTCCTCCGGTGAGATCCATAAACATTCTTGAGGGATGTCGAGGAATGACCAAGAATAACGTCTATAAGAATCCAAGAGTCCTGAAATGATGACAAGTTTATTCAGCTGGTTTCAGCTGGTTATCCAATGGAAATTCTTCAGGGAGGGGGTGGTGAGCATCAGATCACATTTTCTCCAGGTGAATTCGGATAAGATGTCCTTCAAGACCAGCCAAGGGAGCCAAATTTAGATAAACACAGTTGTTTTGGGGACAGGCAGAACTTAATGACATCTACCTTGAGTCTGTGTTGGTCCACTCGGTTCCGAAATGTCCAAAATAACATGGCCACACCGATGGAACGTGACTGAAAATAATCTCCGAGATCTGATCCATTCTGCCCAAAGCATTTGAGTCTGGGTACTCGAGGCACGAACCAAGCGTGATTGGGTCCAAATTTGCTGCCGACGACTTCCTTGATTGTAGATAAAACCAGCACCAGCCGAATCCAAAAAGCAGGAACCAGTTATCGTAAATCCAATTAAATATGTGTCCTTAAAATCCACAGATGGCAGCAGAGATAGACACATCATCAAGTCTTCAAGTCGATGAGATATCCAGCTGCGTGCCAGCAGGACAAATCGGCTCGCCTAAAGTCTGTCTTCTCTTCGAAGAAATGTTGTAAATTGAGTTGAGGGACCAACTGATCAAAACAAGTCCATAATTATGGTTCAGAAGATTTGTAGAGAGGCTCAGAAGCAGTTTCACAGACAGACAGAGGCACAAAGCAAAGCGAAGAGGGAGGGGGTGGGGAGAAGCGTCCGATCTCGGCGAGAGCAAGTGGTCAAGCCTCTGTAATTAAATATTGTGATCAACTGTATCAAATGCAGCACTGAGGTCTAACAGGACCAGTATAGATTAGGGGTTGAACGAGTATATAATTTTTAAACTCGACATTAACATAATAAAACCCAAGTAGAACTCGAGTATTTGATGACGTCATAGATCTCAAGATACAAAAATAAATAAAACCGCAAAAAAAGGTAATTATTTACCAAAAAAAAAGACCAACAAAACATTGGGAGCGTATATTATGCTCCTACCATTTATCAAACTGCAAATAAGTCACAGGAAAAACTAAACTAATAGTTATTATTATTAATCTGCAAACGTGAAGAAACATGCAGCACGTCAAAAACGAAACTTAAACCGAAACTGGTTCTGGTTCGGTGGATTGGACCCGGTGTTACACCATACTCTGTGACCTGCAACAGTGCAACACCGCCCCCTACGGTCATACGGTGGTCACATAATATGACGTCACTACGGATACTCAATGTTACATTTTTAACCTCGATAGTGGTCCTAGCAATCGATGTGTAGATTACTCGAGTACTCTGTTAATGCCCTAGTCTAGACACAAGTCCATTGTCTGAGGCCATGAGAATATCATTAGTGACTTTTACTAGTGCTGTTTCTGTGCTATGATGAGCTCTAAACCCTGACTGAAACTCTTCAGATTATTTCTTTGTAGATGGTCACACAACTGACCTGCAACTATTTTCTCTAGAATTTTTGAGATGAAAGTTAGATTAGATATAGGTCTATAATTGGGTAGGATTTCTGAATCAAGGTTATGTTTCTTAAGTAAAGGTTTAATTACAGCAACCTTAAAGCGCTGTGGTATGTAACTGTTTATTAGAGACAAATTAAGTAGATCCAAAATGTGGACATTAATTAGGGGGAATACCTCTTTAAACAGTCTGGTTGGGATGGGATCTAACAGGCATGTGGATGGTTTGGATGAGGTTATTATTTTTGACAATTCAGAGCTGAACAGGACAAAAACTGTCCAAACATAAATCAGGCTCTAGTGAAATTTAAAGTTGTCTCATCTGACACAGAACCAGAGGTGATAGTAGGAATGTTGGTTTGAATTTTGTCCCTAACTGAAACAATTTTCATTATAAAGAATGTCATGAAGTCGTCACTGCTTATAGTTGTAGGGACACATGAATCAACAGAGATGGGATTTTTCATTAGACTAGTTATGGTACTGAAAAGGAACCTGGGATTATTTTTATTCTCATCAATTAAAGATGAATAATATAAAATTCTAGCTTTACAGAGAGCTTTTTGTACGTTAGCTGGCTGTCTCTCCAGGATAAGTAAGATTCCTCAACATTAGTCGAGTGCCATTTTCTTTCTAGATGCCTGTTTTAAAGTACGTAACTCAAAATTGAACCAAGGAGCTAATCCCCTCTGATTGATTACTTTCTTATTCAGCGGAGCAGCTTTAGTGAAGTTTGGAAAGTAGTTGAAAAATTATCACCCATATTTAGCTACAGCTTAGCTGCTTTTAGCTTTAGCACCTGTTCAGCTGCTGTGTATTTTTAGCAGAAGCATCAGTTTTTGCTCCTAGCTGACATGACCAGCTGGTTTCCACTGGTTCTTGTTCCACTTCCTGGTTCTAAGCCTGACCTGTGTTTGACCCGGGCTCGAGTCTGAACATGGTGATCCTGTCGAGTGTTTGTAACTAAATCCAGCTCACCTTTGGTTTATCCGTCTTGGGATCACAGTCCACACTCTCCATGGCTGTGAGCACCTCAAAGCCACCAACGACCCTACAGGACACAAACAACGCCTGCGTTAGCGCCAACCATGACTTCTGCAAACGTCTGGAGTCCTGCGCTCCTCTGGGAGCAGCAACAACGGCTCCATCCATTACAAACTATCGCTCCTCATCACCCGCCGCCTCCAGCGCCTGCGTGGTGCCCGACAGGAGGAGGCCAGGTGAAGCTGTGTTGGTCAATCTTGCAAACTCGTTGATGTCATGCAGGTAGGAGAGATCTGTCAGAGCTCAAGGTGTGTGCTGGGGATGACTCTCAGGGACTACCACATTAGACACATTCTCCATTTATCTGGGAGTTCCTGTCTGATATTTTGTTTTTGTTTAGGTTAGTTAGCTGTGGCAGGTTACCTACAAGTCAAAGTTCTGACCTTCATCCAATCCAGATGTTGTGGAAGGACCTGAAGCTGCAGTTAATGTGAGGAAACCACCAACATCCAGAGGTGAAGCTGTTCTGTTGTTCTGTACGGAGGAGTGGTCTAAAGGTGAGCAGGACTGATTTTAGTTGTAGTTATTGATTCACTGGGGGGGGGTCACACCAGGTACTGAAAGGTTCACATACTTTTACCACTCAGATATTTAATGTTGGATTATTTTCCTCAATAAACAAATGACCGAGTTGAATGTTTTTGTCTCATTCAACTGGTTTATCTACGTTTAGGACTTGTGTGAAAATCTGATGTTTTAGGTCAGACTGAAGAGAAATAAAAGAGTTCACAAACTTTAAGCACCACTGTACATCTCACAGTTGATCAAGTGCATAAAATACTAATGTGAAGAAAATAATTCATATAAAAAAGAGAAAGGTAAAGGGCAGAAATGTTTTTATTCTATAAAGTGAAGTTCCCACTTTCTAAGAAGTGTGTTTATCTGCACACGTACAGTCTGGATACATGAGTCAGCTTGTTGATGACGTTGAACAACATTTTTTGTAGACGTGCATATCTCACCAGCACTTTGAACAAACATCTCGTGTGAGTACAGCAAGCAGTTTGTGTATTTATTCCACACGCTTGATTTCAAGCGTCACACACACGCACTAGTTCATAATAACTACCACTAACGAGAAGTGCAGGAGAGTGTGGGAAGCCATGCGAGCGAGACGACGTGTGACCGTCAGCTAATGCTAATCTGCTGTAGTGGGAGCTGAGTGTAAAGTACGTGCTGGTAAATGTTGATGAAGTACGTTTAGTAACAAGCTGTGTGTGTTTCAGATGATTCTCCATCAAAATAATGGCAGCACACCTACAGTCTGTTTACGTCCTGCTCTGGAGCGACAGCATTCAATGTGTGAAGAGTGGCTGCTACCTTCCCTGCACTAAACCATCATGGATCATTTCAAATGTTGACCATAAAGATGTGCAGTCGTCCCTCGCTACTTCTCTTATCGCTGATTTTCAAAATAAGAGTGGACATGACACAGTTTTCTGATTGATGGATGAGCCATGAGTTGTTTATTTAAAGTAAATTATTTTAAATGATTCTGCAGCATGTGTGCAGCCCACAAGTGCAGGAGAAGCTCCCTCCTGCAGCTGATCAGCTGATCTCCTTCTCTGCCACGCCCACATTTCTCCTGCTGCAGCTTTGTGAAGGTTAACCCTTTACTGTCCAGATGCACTGATCAACTTTTGTCTTCCAACTTAAAATTCAAAGTATGTCACATGGTAAAAATCATCGTAATCACAAAATATAAAAGTGTTTAAAGTTATTTTTAATTATTTTAGAACTTCTTTGTTCAGTCGTTTCAGCGTCGCTGATCAAGAAGTTTGTGCTCCGTGCTGCAGAGCTGAAGCTGCGTGACATCCTGTGATGTTCTGCTGCACTTCTCTTCTCTACAAGTTAAATGTAAATACTGTAACATTTTAAATACACAATCCATGCAGCATGGATTGTGTATTTAAAATGTTACAGTATTTACATTTAACTTGTTTATTTAAGGAGGGAGATTGGGACGAACAGGTGATGAGTGTGATTGCAGCCTGACACGTCATGACAAACTTTACTGAACTTCAACTGTATCTCTACTTCATGGTTTTTCACTTGTCACAGGTGGGCGTGGTCCCAAACACCTGCGATAAACGAGGGACTACTGTATTAAAAATAACCTGACTTTTGTTATGATGCTTCACTTTTATTATTTACCAAACACTGTGGATGGATGGATGGACGGATGATGGATGGATGGAATAATAATAAAAATGACCTGAAGAGTTAAAATAAATCATTTAAATGTGATGTTTTCAGTCTGAGTCAGCTCTCTCTTTTAAAGACTGACTAGTTGTTTAATTTTGTGACTAAAATAAAATAAACTGTATTTTATGAAGTTTAATAAGGTGGTTGATTTTTCCCTAAGGGTCATGAAAGGTCATAAAGTTAGCGGACAATAAAGGGTTAACCTGGAAGTTTCAGAATGTGTCCAGATTAAACATCATTCCTGTCAGATTATTACGGTCACACAGCCACAGATTGGATCAAATCTGGATTTAGCTCATAATCATGACTTAATCTTGAAACAGGTTTCAGTACAGGGCGAGGATTTACTTTGAAGTTTCTGGTAAATTAAAAAGAATACAGATTATTAAAATGATCAAATTAAACATTATATATATAAATAAATCCTGTTAATGAATTTTTAATAAACTTTTGTTCATTAAATCTCTGATGAAGGAGATTCTACAAAAACATCTATATTTAACATTTGATAGGTTTTTCTTCATCATTTGATGTATTTACACTCATTGTGTCTATTTTTATTGTTTAATTTAGAAATGTGGTTTTGTTTCTTGTTCACATATATTTATTTTATTTTAGCTTTGATTTAAAGTTTAATTCTTGTTTAGTGGTTTGTTCATGCGTGCGTTAGAATAAAGTTGAACTAAAGGCTGAATCTCTTCTTTAAACATGTTGGAGGGAAATATTCCTGACAGATCCAATAACTGTCTTTTTATGATTCTTCAGCTGAGTTAACTTTAACAGATTATTTAATAAAGTCATTAAAGTGAAAACAGGATTTCATGATAAAGCCGGCACCGTTTATTAATTTTTGATGGCGCTCCTAGCTCCGCTGGCAAATGCAGAGGAACGTCTGAGCTGCCGACCCACAGGAGCCCCGGTGTAGCTCGGAGCCAGGGAGATGACGCCCGGCCCCGGCCCCGGCCCGAGGGGGCTGCGAGGCTCCGTTGGAGAGGACTGGGGGGACCGGCGGAGCTCCATCCAGCTCGCTCTGAATTTTGTCGTCGGTCACCAAACATAAAAAACACCTGCACTTCAACGTTGGACCACGGTGGAAGTCCAGCCGCTGCTCCGAGTTCAAGTTATTGCAAATGGTGGATCAGGTTGTTGTGAAAGTTTCTCAGACAGCCAGTGACTCCGCCCCCTGACCAATCAGAGACCGACAGTGTTCTGACGTCATGTTTTGGTGCCAGCTGGGCTCAGTTGGAACCCCAGAGAAAAAGGGACTTTATAAAGGGTCCACGAATAATAACTAGTGGAAAAGCCTTGGAACCGATCCGAGCCGAAAGGAGCAGTGGAAAAGGTGTTGGTTAACTAGTGCACCCTAATGTGCAGAATGAGCAAAGAGAAGCGAGGAAGGAGGGCAACGATGTAAACTTCAACCAAACCTTGATGTGTGTCAGGACTGGTAAATCATCAACACGTCCTTTAAATAGAGGCGTAATAAAACACAGGAAGTTGACGCTTACCTTCCAAACACGCTGTGTTTTCTGTCCAGGTAGGTGCAGGAGCGAAACGTGATGAAGCTGAGACAAAAACAATAAAACCATTACAGCAAAAGTCAGCAGCTGAAATGGATCAGCAGTGAAGGCTGATGAACGAGTTAATGATGCAGCAGGTGCTCTTGATTTTAGCTACTGTTGAGCTCATTTTAGCTCCAAGTTTTCATTTTAATATCAGTTTTGCTACTTTTAGCTTCGTGTTTTGTTCAATTGGAGTCAACGATTCAACGGCTAATTGTCTGCCGACGGCAGTTTGAGACGATGCGCTGAAGGAAGTTCCTTACAACTGAGATTTGTTGGTGTTCGGACCGGAGTTGGCCATGCTGAGAATTCCTCGGCCCGTGTGGGACAGGTTGGGTCGAAACTCGTCTTTGAAAGGTTGTCCCCAGAAAGATTCACCACCTGAGAGCAGAGAAGACAAACGAGTCAACAGGGACGTCTCTCCAAACGTTTCATTCATGTTTATTAAAGACATGGCTCCTCGTCGTGTCAGAGTCAACCCAGGACGGTTATTTCAGTGAGCCTTCAATATTTAATCACACCCGGCCGTGACGTCGCAGCACGACAAACCAGAGCCATTCTTAGCGTTAATGATGGATGAGGAGGGTTTCCAGTCCGACTCGTTCAAACCGAGCGACAGCTTCTGGGAAAACGTTAAAGCTACACGAGACCTTGTTTATAGCCGTTATGAGTGAGAACCTCTGGACCTGCTCACCTCCAACTTTCTGCTTTTACTGAAGCAGACAAGTCAAACACTTTGTTCTTAGTCTGAAGTGGAACACAGGAGGTCTGACACGTTAGAAGCTGTTAAACTCAGAGTCACATTCTTGATGAAAGGATCGTCTGCTATCAGAACAACTCTCACTCAAACAGCAGCTCAGACGATCAGAGAAACAGAGTGGAACTTCAATTTTCAGTTCAGTTCAGTTAAAATAATAATTGAACAGAAACATTCATCAATAAAATAATAATTGAACAGAAACATTCATGTATAAAATAATAATTG